TATATTAGGCAAAATGTAATTGATGAGTTTGTGACATGCAATGGGATCGGTTCTGCGTACGACTTGCAACAAGGGGGGAAGGGGGGTCAATTTTTGGGCCAAATTTTGCGTACGTACTTATTGAATGGCCCCTTATGAGAAAAATAATTGTAAGACGTTGATATAATTTTAAATTATAATGAATTTAAAAAATTATTTTGTACACTTAATTTATAATTAGAGTGGTGTATTTTTAAATAAATATTTTTAAGTATTACTTCACTGAATTGTGTTTTATTTGCAATCACCATGGAATACATTTCTTAATTACTATACAGTACGCTCCCATTGCATGTCACAAACTCATCAATTACATTTTGCCTAATATACCTGTCATTTAATATTTTTCAAAATAAGAAATAAACGTTTATGTAAACTTGTTTTATTCTCAATGTGGCCAAAAACTAGCCTATATCCATTATAACATATAGGCTATAGGCTAGTTTTCTATAGCCTTTATGTTATAATGGATATAGGCTAGTTTTTGGCCACATTGAGAATAAAACAAGTTTACAAATATAAGAAATTTATTCAATGACCATCGATATTTTCTGGATTGACTGATAATATTAGATATGTTTAGTTGAGAATCTCTACAATAATGGAAAACTTTTATAATGAATTTATTATGAAATGTTTAGTTACAGGTACTTAATATTCAACAATAAATCATATTTGAATAAATAATTTGACAGGTCTATTTCCATTAGTAGTAATAATAATGAACTTATTTTTGAGATATTTTTATCTAAAACCTTAATTGACAATTGGTTTACAGTATAGTTTCATAAATTTGTATGATTTTTAATTTAAAACATTTAGTAATTTAGTAATGATAAATTAATCAAAAATGGATTTTAAATCTTTAATTAAATCCCGGTTTACTAAATGGGGTTATATTAGCCGTGACATAAGCACCGGTATCACAGAAATCGAGAGGATTAATAGATTACATTTGGTGTGTATCTCCAATGATCTGGATGAATATTTGACTGGTAAGTTATGTTAACATTTAACTATAATAAATAGATATTTATTTATGAATATTAAATTATTGTTACATATATATGATAGACCATAGAAACAAAATGAGAAATATCCTGGTTACATTGGCTAGAATAGCGTGCTTGCTTACAACACTTAGATTTGCATCGACCGCTATAGTGAACAAGGTAATACCTATAAAATGATAGACTATCATAAGCTTAAATTAGATACTTAAATAAAAAATATTAATATAATAGCAATGGTTACGAGACTTGTTATGCAACCCAACCCACAAACTGGCGAACAGTGTATTGACGGATACGGCTATCAGTTTGATAGCCCTCTCGGGATTTACCGCCGGATGTATTGTCTCCTATCAGGACCTGACCCACACTTTACATGTATTTCCGCTAATATCACAAATAAGTCACAAACGCGATAAATACTCTCTAAATGCCTACCATTTGAAGCAATTGACAAAACGGGTGAACATAATGGCCAAACATGTGATCCAAAATACAATCGTAATAACAATCATAATATTGACAGTTGTTAACATTTTTGAGACAATTAGTGTTTATATAGATGTCAGAGAAAATACAAATATAATCATTGTTTTTGTTAATTTTATAATTCTTGAATTAGCATTATATCAGGTGCTGGGATTGCTATGGGTAGGGGTTATCATATGGTATATGGTATCACTATATTTAAAACTACAATTCACTGAAGTATACCATAAAATGCTAATTATAACCAAATTCCCACATCATTATCGCTCAAACCATACCTTTCTATTGGAGACATTCAATGAACATAACTATTTTGTTAAACAAGCACAAGTTTGCAATGAATTTTTCAAATATTTTATATTCATTATCTACTATATTGTTACCCCAGCCTTGGAAATGGGTCTGTATTTCAGTCACCATAAGGATAGCCCTTTACATCTAAAGATATCGGTGGCTATTATTATAGCCATTAATTTTTCAGCAGTGGTCGCCTTAAATGTAATGAGCAGTTGGGTCACCAAAGCCGCCCATAAGCCGTGTCCACTACTTTACAAATGTGTAACTAATCGTCAAATTCCTATACATTTAAGGCTCAAAATTCTGGCACTCATTGAACGCCTGAGCGGTCCGTCTATTGGTTTCTATTGCTATGACTTGTTTCCAATGAATTACTACGAGTTCTATCAATACGTGTGTATCGCTGGCGCTAATTATTTCCTTATAATGAATGTATTGAGTAAAAAGTATAACTTATGAATATAATATAAGTTGCATGGTATATGAAATAAATAAAATAATTCACAACTATTCTACTGTATAAAGTCTATATCATAGACGTCCAAAATTTTTTAAATCTCTAAATTAGTGTTTTATAATATTAATAAACTTATTAACTATTCCAAACACTAATATTTTATGATTTAAAAGTGACAAAGATTTGTTGTGAAAACATAATTTTCATTTTAAATAATAATATGAAAATTTAGTAAACAAAAATATAATATTCAAATGATTAATACACTAATTTAAGATATTTTAAACCTACAACAAATATTTTGTAAACTTTCAATGATTTATCCCTTTGTTTAGAAATACTGAATAACATTGACACATAATTTAATCCACAGCACAACACATAAGTTATACTTTGCTTTAAGTAATAAAAATTAATATCAATTTTAAAAGTTGTTATTAATACTAATGACTACAGCGGCTCAAGACGTTGGGTCTGGCCTTCAATCACATCAAAGCCATACCTAAGCGCGCGTTCACTGGTCTATAGTTAGGTTTTTTGATGTGGATCAGTTTTATTTTAAGAATGAGAATCAATAGGAATGGAAAGCCGTCCCGAAACCTCAATCTTTACTTAAATATTTATAATTAAGTGATAAAATTATTATTTAAAACTCGTGTCAAATTGTTTTTAATTAATAGTATATTCTGGGCGCGACCTTTTAATACAATTTGTCTTTTCAATAATTTCTAATACTTTCCGCCCATTTATCTGATATTAAAAATAAGTTATTGAAAAAACATATCAAATGGCATATCCTGTCGAACAAACACTTGAGGCACGTTCTGTAAAATTTTAAGTTATTTTAGAAAATTTTGGTAACTTTAGATTTAATTAATTTGTAAAAAATTTACTTGATATGTTTTTTCAATAACTTATTTTTATATCAGATAAATCAGGGAAAGGGAGTAGAAATGATTGAAAAGACAAATTTTATTAAAAGGTCGCTCTCAGGACTTGAACCCGAGACCTCCTGATTGTAAAAAATTTAGTTTTCAAATACAATTTGCTTCAAAAACTATTGTTCAACTGATACTTCTATATCTATTTAGTATTATTTCAACCAATTAAAGTGGGGATTGTAATAAATTCAATTAATATTTAATAAATTAATCTAAGTTTAAATTTAAATTAAATTACATATAGTAAAGAAATCTAATATATAATAGAAATGTTTACTGCAATTCAAATTATGTTCACTTAATAATTAATCAATCTTAAATGCATAATTGTATATTTATATCACTTTAGTAATTAATAGGATAATATTTATTATCCAATTTATATCAAACGAATGTTTGATTCATTAAAATATACATTTGTTTACTACTAATATAAACATTTATAATTTATGAATAATCTAATTACAAATTAACAAATTATATAGCTTGGTCATACGATATGACTCATACTCGTTTATTTGAAAAGTTCAAATATTTTATATTGTGTTTTTTACTAAATTGTACATGATCGCTACAGACCATATGTCGCCTAGGTCATATTCAATTTTGTCCAGTATCTAATTGAACTCAAATAAGACCTGTATTTGTAAAGTGTAACTAATGTTCGGGAGCCCGAAAAAAGTGGTCATTTATCTGATTGTGAACATTAAACCCGAAAGTAATCCAAATGCTATGAACTAAAATCCTGTCTGATTAAACAGTGAAAACTTTAACCTGAACATTTAATAGTCGCCCCCAAAAAATTCCTGATACACTTAATGTTATCCAGATTACAATTTAGTCAACAAATATCGGAAAATATGCGATAATATATATTTATTTTTAAAAATATTTAATTAACAAATTGTGTACAAAAAATATTTCGACCGTAAATGACCAGGTTTATAAAGTAAATGTCAATTTATTTTAATCTTGCATTGAAATAACATTAGAAACTCGGACAATTAACGCAATGTTTTAAGTAAAAATCCCGGACATAATTGCTAATTGCATCAAGTACAGTCATTTTCCTCACAAAAAATTCTTATTAAAATAATTGTTTTGTAATCTTAAAATTATTTATTGAAAATAACTGTACTTTTATGAGCTTGGTTATCATTTCCGGATTTTTACTTAAAAATTCTCGTTTATTGACTCTATTCTCATACCACTAGAGGGCTAAATGGGTGCCATAAAAGCAACTTTTTAAGCAATTTCGTTAAGCTCAGTAATTTTCCTATTTAAAATTCTTGATTACTTAACCCTATTATTTAATCTATAATAAATACGAATTGACATTACATGTATGTTAACACTAAGCACCAAGCAACATTTCAATAATTATTACAGAAATAATAAACGCTTTGTATTTTTATAAATAATTTATTTTCAATGATTTGTAATAAAATATTTAATGAAAGAAATAAAGTCATCAATGAATAGACATTTTACTGTAAATGCATTCTCTATTACATAACATGTGAACCAAAAAGAGTTAATAATTATTCCGTTTCTAGATTTCTATAAATATTTAAAAATAATACTTTCGTTTCGTTAAAAAATAGACAAATTGTTTAACAATTACTTAATTAAAAGAATAATAAATATTATATAATATATATATATATATTGCAATAAAAATTGATTAAACTAGAAATGATTAGTTAATAGACAATAAAAACCTAATTTATATATAATATACGAATAAAATGTAAACTAATTTGGCGTTTGATTGCATCTAAACATTGTGTGAGAGCTTATTGACCGCCGAATCCATTGCTAGTCATAAGCGGTTCAGTTCGCAGGTGTCGTCGATCGGGTCGATCAGTAGGTTTACGTCACAATTGCCTCTATTGGACGTCGATATCGAGGAGTTGGTGCTTAAGAAACACAATACAAACCACTCATTAGAATATGTGCTCATCAGTAGTAAGACACGAGTGTTTGCGATGAGAGGTCACACCCGCCGACCCCCTCATCAACGCCTACCTCAATGAAGCGGAACTCTGGTTGGGCTTGACTTTCAAGAATTTGCCGGAATTGGAGTCTTCGCGACTCACTTGTCGCGACTTAGACCTCGGCTTCCGGTACTTGAGGCCCGTATTGGTCCGCATTTTGTCCATTATATTCATCGAGTCTCTGGTGTTCTCGATGGGCGCTATCGATATGTCCCGAACCGCCCGAAACTCTCCGCAATTGTTGAGGTGTTCGTTCTCCAGGCGAAAGAAGTTCCACACAAACCGACTGTCCGTTCATTAGGAGAAGGGGAACGACACGTGTTTTTGGTTATTCACTGGCATTTCAATGGCAATACAATTGACTCAATTATAGGACACATTACCGGAACAGCTCTAACGGCGCTAATATGGAGGTCACGAGTTCTGCGTGAATCACACCGACCTCTTGCAGCGACACCGACAGAGTCCACGCGAACCTCAGGATCAGGTCCTCAATGATCGCGAAGTAGTAATAGTTGGGCGACGAGTAGACGATCTCTTCGCGCAGAAACGGGTACTCTTTGGACGGACTGTTGGGGTCGAAGAGACCCCAATCCATCTTCACGTCCCACACGTATGTATAACACGACGACACGATCATCGATATGATCCACAGATTGAAGTACGGGTTGGAGAAGGAGTGGTCGTAATCGTCTGCACCGGTAATGAGAAGCACGTCATAGTTAAAGACAATCCGATGGTTAGGTCTAAAGAACTACTACTACTAACTGATCGTCAGTTTGGTTAACGTGGAGAATATGACCACAAAGAAAGTGGTCGAGTATTTGCCGGCATTCACCACATGCGGGAACAGCCCTCTCCTGTCGTCTTTATATCGACGCAAACACTGCGCGAACCGAAACCACGCCGGAAGACACGCCACGAATGTGCGGATCAAGAGGTCGGACGTCGACGACGATATGCAACAGTCGGATGACGTCTCTAATGGTTTGCAAACAAAATACAAATGAAATTCAATTTCAATACTAAACGAAAGTTATATTCGCTTAAGAATCGCAAACACAGAATATTCTTAAACCGTTTATTATGTCTATTCTTAAGCCTTATACTCATTAACAAAGAGTAATAGTTACCGAAACCCTTATGAGATGTAATCGAGTAGAAGTTGAAGTAATAACAGATTAAGAACTCAAAGTCCTGAAGAACGGGAACAATTGAGTTGAGCTGATCCGCGAGCCAGAAGTCGGCGAACTCTACTTTAACGAAAGGCGCTCTAATCACACGAATCTATAGCCATAGTTGTGGACACAGAAATAGGTAATGAGAACCAATTGTCTGCACAGACAGTGTCTGCCACCAAATGCTTACCAAAACCTTCAACAGCCAGAAGCGGGCGCTATGTCTTAGAGTTCGCGTCGGATTAATCATAAACAACACCATAAAGAATACCAGAAGCAGTGGAAAGAGATTCGCGTTAATCGACAGTATGTTTGGTGAGAACAGGTAGGAGAGCACCGACAGCGACCACAAGACCGCGAATATGGAGGCGATCTCGAAGAAGTGCTGTTCAGACAAGTGGTCTCTCGGATCCAATTCGAAGATCAATACGTGATTCACGCCCGACGTCCGCCACCCGTAGACATTGATTCCGATCATAAATAAGAACATAATTATCATAAGTGGGCCGCGAAATAGGCGCACGACTACCGGCCACTCGTGACCCAATGGGACTAACAGTGCTGTCCATCGGAAACGAAGAATAATTAATGTTAAAAAAATTCCGTAAATAATGAATGAATTGAATACAGAATATAACTCACAAACAAATAACACGTTGAACAGTAAGACGACGAACGCGCCCAAAAAGATGCCGACCCTGAACGTGGTCCACACGGACTGGTGGGCGTTCAGCGGCGGCACCCGTAGCCTCTTCATCGCCTTCTGGCGGTCGCCCGACTCGAGGTGAGTGGTGAACAGGTTCTCGGTCTCTATAATGAGTTTATTCACTTCGTTATTGGTGTAGAAGTGCGAGGACTCGACGTTCGTCTGCCGCCACTCGAGACCGGCGTTAGTGTTGAGCAGTTTGTCGTGTTTTTTGAGAATTTTGCGAAAACCCGTGAAATTGAGGTTTTGGTAGTTCTGGAGCAATACCAGCGATAAGTAGAACTCGGAAAACGCCAGTTTCAGGTCGTGGAGCTTTCGGGACACCTTGCGGTCGATGTTCAGCCGATCGTCGCGTTCGTTGATTATCTTGCGGTCGAAAAGACCGAACAGTTTGTCGTCTTTCGGTTTGCCTGCAATCAGTTCACAACAATTCAGTCACCAATTAGTTCTCCATTCAAATCATTGTCTTTTTTTCAGTATATTCTTTGCGATAATTATACTTTTAATTCAAACATTTCTATCACTTATAGCCTAATCGAGCAAAACTCGGGATGTATTGTCTGAATGTCTGGTATGAGATTCACTGAAACGTCTGAAATTGTAATCAAATATCTAATACTAATAGTAAGCCTACAGTGTCTGGGAATGTACGGTATGTCCACTAAAAAACAAATCATTGAATGAAATCAAAGTCTACGGACACAAGTCTTACCATTTTGTTGGAAGTGTTGGCTTTCGTTGAGTTCGGTCTTGAGATCGCCGAAGCGTCGGATGGCTTCGGCCAACTTCTCGGCGAAGAATGTGTTGATTTTAGACAACTCGCGCTCGCAGTACACGAAGAACTCCTCCTCGAACTGTCGAATACACTCATTGGTCTCCTCGTTGACGGTGGTGATGGTGTCGATGCTGTTGATGGTGTCGATGGTGTTGACGGTGTCGTGACATTCTTGGGCCTCATTCGGCAGACCATCGATGGCTGAGTACAGCATTTCCTTCATATTCTGCGTGCGATTCAAAACACATTACATCATCGGATCTACGAGTGGGTGATAACACGGGTCGATAGGGGCCATGGCGTGCATACCATAGCGGGTATGGCAGCGGTGGTCAAGACATTATCATCGCATTGTTTGGTTGGTTAGGGGGGTCGGTGTGATGGGAATGGTAGTGGTGGCGAACACATGGCTGTTAGCATGGAATCAATTGGTGGGGTAAGGGATGGTGGCGGTGGCGGTAGTGGTGGTGATGGTGTGCGAGAGACACGAAGACATACCTCGTAAGTGATGTACTGTTTCCTCCATTCAGGTGTGATGTGCGCCGACAGGTGTTCCGCGAATTTCATGACTCAATGGATCCGCTGATCGCTGGCCTCTTCTTGAGATAACGCGGCACTCGTGTTGTGCGCCTGAAATGAGCGGTCAATTGAATGGACAGCCGATCGCCGGAATCGGATGAGCGCTGGGATGAGTGACTGCAAAGTCATATGATTTATGAGATTATTCTTGCGATGCGTTTGTGTTGTCAACACAAATGCAATGCTTTCTCAATGCAAACCATTCATTGAGTCATTTAGTGGAGTATTCACTGCATATCACACACTCTCTCACAGACTCTCTCACAGACTCTCAGTCAGCGCTCAATCAGCTGTTGGTGTGTTTGCGATGGGCTTACAGTTCGCCCAAAGTTTATATACAATAAAAAAGGGCTCGCATTCAGCGCTTAATTATAGGGGTTTTAAGTACGCGTAAAACACGACTACATTCATATACATGTGTTTTCGCGACAAAAGTGATTGTATTTTAGACAAACTACTGGTTTATGACAGTTATTTATAGCCGACTGACTTATACTGTACGGCCTTTTAAACAGCGCCTGCAATGACACCTTCGCCACAGAACTCATGCATTACGCAAACATAGAGATCGCTTGCATTACAATGCATAAAGTTATCGATATTATCTGATTAGATATCTATTCAATACCTGCTTATATCACACAAACCTTTGCCATAAGGTTTACATTTACAATATCCCGGTTGACTCTTATGTGTGTCTTATGTAAAGCGATAATTAAATAGAAATTATGGCCTATTTATCGCAAATTACAGATTTCGGAGTTTAGATGAAATAAACTAAGCGTTGATGTCATGAGACGGCGCTTCCCTTCCCATCCCCTATATTCTGGTTGTATTGGTGTTCACACAGAATATTCTATACGATTGAGCGCACTGTTAGCCCACATAGACATACAGTTAGCTTCACATTACGTACACTCTCACTATATGTGATACAAATATTTCCCTATCTGTATGGCTAAACATATTATTATGATCTCTGTATTTAAGATTTTAAAATATAACACTATTTTTAATGGGAAAGTTTTGAAAATTACTTTAATATAGCGTTATATAACAAAAGTTTTGCTTGAAACTTTGTTTTTATGACATAAAATTTATGTGAATAAAACACCCATTTTATAACATTTAAAAAATTGGTCACGTATTCAATCAAAAGTTTATATAACATAAATGCGATTTTTATATATACAAGTAATTATCGGAAATTTTTTACTTTTTTTGTTATATAAAAATTTAATCTATTTATTGAACACTTGACTATAATCTGAAAGTAAAACACTTCCACTTTTACTGCAATTACTATAATATTTTTCTTATGGATTACAAAATATATATATAATTTCGATATAAATATTTTATGAGAATTAATCAAAATATAACACCAAAACATGTTTTCCAATGCATTTTCGTGTCATTCAATATGACAAATATTATGCAGACATTGGATACAAATTGTCTTTTTCTGTAAATTGAAGTTCAAATCAATCAAAAAATACTTGACTGAAACATAATAATAAATATACTATGATATAACATTGCAGTAGATATAGCTGTGAACAAAAGCACCACTACTTTGACTGGAGATTAATATGTAGGAAAAGTTTCAAAATTCATAAATCATGCGATAATTAACAAAAATTATTTACTATTAGTCTATTTTGTTAATAAGAATCAAGTGATAGACAAAAAAAATATTATTCAATACTAACCTTTCAAACTGATTGTGCAATTGCGATGATCGCAAATATAAATCACAATTTGAAAGCAATGTATTAGAAAAACAATTTTTTCCTCAAATGAATGGTTGGGCACAGAGTTGTCTCGCGAATGGATATCAAGTTTATTGTCTTCCTATTCACTCCCCAGTGGTATCGTAATTCAAACTCAAAGCTTTTGTAATCAATTCTTGTGTGAAATTCTAGAAAATGTGTATTTCTTAAACTTAATTATCAAATGTTTACTCAATCGACACTTATTAATAAATACTCCTCTAAACTCTTATAAACTCTTATTAACTACTTATTGATAGACTTTATATACTAGGAGTCAGTGGTTGTGAACAAATAGCTGTTTCGAAGGCCAAACACATGAGATATTACAACAAAATATTTATTTGACTTCTGTTCAGAGGTTCACAAATTATAATTCAACAACCGATCGGCGCATAAATATAAATACACTATTATTTTAAATGTTTATTACATAACAAAATCAATAAAATATATTAGACAGACACACACACAAAAAAAACTTAATAATAATAATATTGAATACATAATATAAATGTAATTATATTCGTAATAAAACAATTGGTTTCGTGAAAGCGTTTAACTAATAAATGTAATAAAAATTAAAATTAAATATTTAACAAATTTTTCATAATGACTTTTTTTTCTGTGTAAATCTGTATTTTATTTAAATTTTATTTGATTTTTTCATGCGTTATATATTCAATAGTTTATTGGTATAAAAAATTATACATAATTATACAAATCTCTTCTCTCGCTGACAGATACCCCAACAGATAGTATACACCCATTCATTGAGTGTCGTATAAATTGTAAATAATATTCCCGTCTTATTCTCAGGTGTGATATATAACAGGGTTTTTATGGACAGATAATTATGGGTTTTAAGCGAAAAACAGCCAAAAAATTATTGATATATTCTATTAACTCGTGAGTTATTATATAACACACTCTTATATTGAGGATTCTTAAGACCTATCCAATGGGGACAGGTATGTGTGAGTGTGTGTGTGTGTGTTGAGGGCGTTGTACACCAAATCATAAAAATTTATTTAACGGTGTATTTCTTACTTACTTTTGGCAGTAAAAATTATTTTTTATTATATAATAAATTCTCATTCAATTTGTGTTAACTTAAACCACATACGCTTACACATACACAGTACAGACTATCGTATGGGAATAATTTGTACTGGCTATTAATAATGGCACAGATTCAAAGTGGGTATAAAAAATGGTTGTAAATTACTATTAAATGCAGTAAATGGTAGTCAATAATGGTTACCCCTTTGGTGTCGTTAGCCTTGCATTTCGGGCACAAGTATACCGATATTAATATCTTTTTAAGTCATTATACATTCAAAGTCTATTCCCAAACCCATGTTTCCCTTCAAATGGCATATAATGTATGTCAGAGTCTTATCTCATTGACTGTTCAAAAAATAAAACATTTACTTCTTTTTTTTGGTTATATATATTCAGTCTTATGTTCACTCATAAGGAATGCTTTATTTCATTGCATTCCGACTGATAATGGATCGACTCGTGTGAGCATAAGATAGACGATAATTATTAGCCATACGTCTCCTTACAAGACAAACATTACTGTCTGTTCAGTCCATTATCTATACATTCAGTGAGGGAACCAATAATCTGTTTCTCGAGAAAATTGATTCATACAATTGGTCACAAGGTTTACAAAACAAAAAGTTTTATATATAATATCTTTTTTTTAGTTATCACAAGATTTGTTTAAATTAAGGTATATTTATGTCTCATTTCGTATTAAAAACTAAGTTTTGTTTGATTGTTATCGACGAAAGTGCAACAGTGTGTGGGCGCGGGTCCGCCATAGCTGGGTCCGCCACCATTGCCACCACCCATGGGCTCAACCAGATATGTGATGAGTGCCTCGGAATCCTCTTTGGCGGCACTCCGTTGCGAATTCACTGCAAACGCACAACACATAAGCGACTCATAAATTACACATAAAATGAAATTTAGAAAAACAAACGAAAATATAATCAGCAATTCAGTTGAAAAATAACTACAAGACAAAAAAGTTTTCTTAAGAAATGCATAAAAAAACAATACATAGAAACAGGAACTAAACTCAAGAGAAATCAATAAAATATTCATAAAAATCTCTTTTGCGTGCATTTCGGCTGATGTGAGGAATAACTCTTGAGAGGGAGAAAAACAGTTGAAAAGATGGGTCTCATTAGCGGCTAATCTAATAAAAAACAGCATAAGAATCCATAAGCAAAACGAGTGGAAACTTTTGCTTTTAATTCTATTATTAATACAAAAATTGTTTGTGTATTATATACGCGAAAAATAAGTGAATTAAAGTATAGAAAAAAAATTCTTTCGCTTTTTTCTCTTCTGCTCTGAATTAATAACTTATGAATAATTAGATTAAAAGCAAAGCGTAAGAAAATGGGAGAAAAATTGATATTAAAAGCCTGGTGTGGAAAGGGAGATGGAATGGGAGATGTTTGCGCAAAAAATGCCGCCAATGTCTCTTAATTAGTATAATATAGCTGTCTTTAATACCCGCATAACTGTATATATGGAGATCGCTTTTGGGATGCATTTTAGGTGTCATCCTCTTGACAGTGGCGTACTGTCCGCCGCCACCACCACCACAATCGCTCACTTTCCTAATGGTTCCGCTATTGTCCACATACTCGACGAGTGTCTCATCGATTTGAGTGGTGGCGTAAGGCGTGGGAAAGTATATACACTTCTGCTGGTTGTGCGACATTTGGTACTCACCGGCACCGGCAGTCATTTGGTTGCGATTAGCGGTGCCGGTGGTGGCCGTCTTATCCATATCACACAGATTCACGTTATCGTTGTCGGCGTTCAGTATATTCTGCTTACCATTACTCATACGACTCGTATTGGCTATCATTATGTATATACACAGAAATTGTGAGATAAGGAGTCAATAAAATATATATTAAATAACGATTCCGTGCGGACGGACACTACTTACAGCTGTGGAATGTGTCGTTCGGGTGGCGCCTGTGTATCACAACACACACCAGTAGTGTGACGGCCACCACCACTATACCCGACAGAGTTAATGGCAAAATCACTTCAAACTCCAACAGCACAGACGTCTTGTAGTCGCTCAGTATCACCGCCTCTTCATTGATGTCTGCGTTCAGATTATCTGATTGTACGTGAAAAGAGATATTAACATAATATTGTATTAATATTTTAATTAAATTGCACGACAAATACGGGGATTATATTAGTATATTATAGTATATTAGCGTTTTTTTCTCTCTATTCACTATAGCGTATGACTTTTATCCCCTATTATAACATATTTATATTCAAATAATATTTTGTTCGCAAGACTGGAGTTTAATTTACTGTGAAATTATTGTACACACAGAATATTCTGTGCGTATATTTTTATATATATAAGTAAACTGCGAGAATCCGTTTACGTATTTTTTGTGTCAAAGGCATTGCTTTCGTTTACAAAATCATTATTTTCTCAAAAATTCAAATAACTTTTTTCTTATCTACTTTTGCTTAAGTTTTATATTCAATATTTGCCAGAATTTAATATTGACTTAATATCAGCGCCGGCGAACGGTATATCGCTTTTTTGAATTCAAATATTCTTTCAAATTTTAATATCATATATATTTTCAGGTAAATAAAAATCTCGCAGATTTTCTCTCCACTCATGCCATACAAAAACGGCGTTAAAATTGTATAAACATTATATGATCGCTGACTCAACACTTTTCTCTCTGACGGACTCTCAATGGAATTCTTGTGTAAAGAATATTCTGTTGTGAATAATAGACGAGAGAAAGAGAGAGAGAGAGAGAGAGAGAGAGAGAGAGAGAGCTGACAGCGATTTCGCAGTAAAATAATGAACAAAATTATGCACAAAATTGTTATTATATTAGTCTCTATTGCTAGTAAAACTGTCCGAAAAAATTAATGTCTAATAGGAGCTGGATATTTAATATGAAAAATATTTGGCACACAAAAAAGCATCAGTGAAATAGTTGTTCCCTTAAGTGATGTTCAGAAAAAAAAGAAAGTATTTAACAATTTTTAAGGCACATGTTATGGGAATATTCTTTGCCATAAATTATTTGTATGAATAGTAAAAATGATTTAAATTTTCTAATGCTGTGAAAATATATCATTAGTTTCGGTGATGTATTCGTAATAAAAATTTATTGCTTTTCTCAATACAACAAAAACTTTATTTTTATATCAAAAATAATCCTTTATTTCATTATAGGATTACTTTTTAAGAATATTAAGATTGAATACAATAGGCATTCATATCATTCGTATGCAAATTTATGCACAAAATTGAATGCATATTCTGTTAAAGTCTATATAGTGTACCAGAATTTTATTAACACAGAATTACTCAATTTTCTCTGTCTATTGTGTACGTTATTAATAAGTTAGTCAACACTACACCGTTGTTCACTATAAATGTTCATTTCTAATACAGTGTGTAAACATAATGTTTGATTTAAATTATTCACTGTAACGAGAGTTCATTGAATTTGTGTTTTTTGTTTGTTTTGGCAAACATTGGCGGAGAATGGGATGGAAAAAAGCGCTTATAATTAGCGTATAATGCAATACACAATATATGGACTCAGAATTTGAAAGAGATGTTCACCAGTGAGTGAGTGAGTGAGAGAGCCGGAGAGAGAGAGAGAATAGGATTCACAGAATCGCGAAATGGGAAATGGATTTAAACACAACAAATGGAGAAGGAATGGGTAATGGGTTTGAGACTTATTGCTGACGACTCGAAAAACTCTCGTTTCACTCACAAAACACACACTAAGTAATGGATGGATGCGAGAGAGAGAGAGAGAGAGAGAGAGACTTAAAGAGTGAGACAGACTTACAGTTGTGAGTCGTACGCGTCAAGAAGTTGTACTCAGCCTGACTGCTGCCGGCCTGGGAGTAGGCAGTGATCTGAATATAATACCACGAATTGGACGACAATCCATCAATTAGTAGCGACTTTTGTGACGAATGAATAAAGTTTGAGTAAAGCGTCCAAACGGTGGTCTCTTTGGGGCGATACTTGAGCTGAAAGTGTTGCAGAGGACAGCCATTATCGCTAAACGCCGACAAATTGATTATCACAAATGTCGAGTTGATTGTAGCCAATAAGGACTCCTTGTCGGGCGGTTGCGGTGTACTTCCCTTCGTCTTGAGCTGTATGTGATGCCGATCACTGCACCCGACTTTATTACAGGCCATTACTGAGAACTCGTATAACGTTCCGCATAATAGTGTATCAAATATACAATTTGTTTGATTGGATGGCAAACGCATTTGTTTGAAATAATTTGCACTGTTTTTGCAGTCGACTATGTATTCTGGGGTGTATTAGTGGCGTACAGATAGCGGTTATGAGACATTAAAATACATGATAACAACACATTAGTTCGTGTGGTAAATGGTGGAGTCAGCGGAAAAAATCAATTTCTAATTAAAAATTATATACAAATTAGCATAAAATGAATGCCTAATTACCAGATACAGAGTTGTCATCATTGGGTGCCCTAATCCACTCCAAGTCGACACTAAACGCGGTAACGCCTATCGGATTCAGTGTAACCGTTTTCGGTCGGTCTGCGAAATTTCAATTAAAATTGCAAATCAAACAAAACTCCTTTTCCCCTCTTTTTCTTGTTGTCGATAAATATATTTTAATCTCAAAAACACGCGACTGTTTAAGAAATATCTCTATGAATGGTTGAATTGAATGCAACATTGAGGTCGAGTTCACTCCAATTCAAAAGTTTAGTATAGAAAATATAAATTCAATTTTATGCCCAAAAATACTCGAATAAAAGTTTATTCAGTTATAAAATGCAATATAAAGCTAGCGTTTAGAGAGTGCACTGACATATACTGTACACTGTACTGGGTTATAGAGAATAGTGGCATAAAAGTCGTAATCAATATTCCGATACATGATTTGGCACTGGAGGTGCTGGTGGTACTCCAGGCAAAACACAGTCATTTCATAGAATATTCTCCTAATTTCTAACTTTTTTTCTGATTTTAACGGCAAAAAAGTTGTAAATTATTCACATATATATGAAATTTGATACAAAATGTAATAATAGTATAATAAGAAGATATTTCTAAAATTGTAAATTGTTATAAAATGCAAAGAATATAAAAAATGAAATGTAATTTATAGCATTATATTAATAATAAGTTATTATTAATGAGAAAAGCATGACAATAGATGCGGTTTCAAGAAATTTCAAATAACAAAAAATAAATTGAATTCTCCTTTCATGTGGTTTAATGAAGAAATCAATAATCGATAAATTGCTTTAAAATCACTTTTTTTGGTTGCCTTTCAACCTCTTATATAAAACTAAGTTTATTTTAAATTAATTATATTCTTAGAAAAACAGACAAAACATGCAATAAATTTGTTTATAATTACCTTCAAATAATGTTTCAGCTGAAAGTGCACAAAACAAAAACAAATTAATGAACACATTTATGTAATTAATAAAATTAATTATTAATACCTTTAATTGGCTCAGAAGGTGGACCGGCACCTGTCAAATGTATGACAATTTTGTGATTACAATCCATACACTTAGGAAAGCAAATAAAAGTAGATTCACTCAACACATACCTTTCGAGTTAAACGCCTGGACCACGATATCATATTTAGTCGATTTGTTTAAATTCTTTAATACGGTTTCACATCTAATACTATTATCACTATTTTCTAGGGTTTTGTAAATAAAAACATCTGAAGAACCGGAGACTTTATATCCAATATAATATCCTTTTATTGATCCGAAATTGATTTGATTGTCCGGAGCCTACAATGCCATTGGATGTGTTGACAGGTATTCGCACGCCATCCATGCCATCCATGCCATCAACAAACATAAAGTCAAAGTAAAAAGAGGTCTGAGCTGTGGGTGACATTGAAAAGTGTGTCATACCTTCCAACTGATTCTCAATGTATTGGATGAGTTTGAATGGGCTTTGATATGAGTCGGAGGATCGCTGGGAACTGACAAATATGGTGTTCAAAAGTATATTAGTCCAGATAAATCATTTTGCTAACTCCGAGATGTGTTTTTTATATATATAAGTTATATTCTGTGATACATTCTTATCAATTTCTATCATAGCGTTGCCTAAGCTTTTGATTTATAATTTAAGTCAAAACAACGAAATTGTTATTTTGAGTGCAGAATATATTTTTATCATTTATTTCAATCTAAACATCAGTGCGAGAGTGAGAGGGCGAAGGGAAAGTGAGCTTAAGTTTTATGGGCCTTAAAGTAGTTTTATTTTTCATTGTGTATTTGTGTGTGTTTTGAGTACTCTATACACAAATGAAACCATAAGATGTTATACATTCCGGGGAATAGTTTAAAATCAATATTTCAATCATCTCTCAGGAAATGCCGTATTGTTTGTTACGATTCTTGTGTCTCTCCACTCTAATTGAATTCTCAATGTATTTATATTTTGTTATTTTGTTTATAGAGGTTTTATTAATTTAAATCAAAATTGAAAACTTTTTAATATCTATCATTTTTTTATAATATCAATATAATGTCAGTATTGAACTCAACGTGCAACTGCTACTTGACATAATAAATAACAAAAATATTTAAATTTGTGTTTAAATAAAAAATGTTGTGTTTAAGAGATTTAGGGTAGTGTTTAGGAAATAAATTCATAAATATTGCATAAGAGTTGCGCTGAAAAGAGGCCATTAATTGGCGAAAAATATTTCTGTTTCACTGACTGTACGCTCTGTTTTGACAAACAATTTATCTATTTTTGGAGGAATTTTAAAAAATGAGAAAACTTTTCAGAAAGGATTTCTTTCGCGAATCGATTATCGATCCCTCGGTCTGTCAACTCAGTCACAGTGTGTTTGGGTTAAAGGGAACGACACTATTGATGAAGAGGCAGCGCAAAGATCTAGGACTCAGTGCTGTCTCAATGCCTGTCATATAATACAGATAAACGCGATTTCTATTTGCTATCTGCTTTCTCTCTCTCTCTCTCTCTCTCTCTCTCTCTCTCATACATACCTTCCTCTTCGGTCTGAAAATTGATTGAAAGACTCGATTGACTTATTCCGAGCGAATTGACGGCCGCGACGTTTAGTGAATACACATTATTCGGTAATAACTCTGATATCGTCCAAACGGTTTCTGTAATGTTTGCCATCAAAAAAATAAGATACAGAATATATGTGTTAATTCTCTACTTATAGAATGTAATTCCGATCCCCAAAGAGATATCAGAATTTTGTACTTTTTAAAGAAATAAAAATGAATGAAATATATTTAATAAGTTTAAGTCTACTCTAAGGTATGAAAAATTATTGTATTTTTTTGTACAGAAAGTGTGCCGAGATTTAGTGAGCATTATAATTAATTATTTTTTATATTCGCTTTAAAATTCAATTAATTTCAAACTTTTGTCTCTCAGAAAACTGTTATTATTATTTTGAAAATTAATATTTTTGAGACTAAATAATGATTTATGTTACAAATCAACTGCAAATCGGATTAAAAATGAGTGCAGAATTGATATTAATTGCTGTCTCTGAGACGTGAATACATTTCTTATTCCGTAAAAGCATTTTCTTAGACCTGACTCGTCGTATGTATAGAAATGTTACTCTTTGTGACAAACATATCGTTTGCAATTAGTTTTGTTAATCCATTACTAGACTATAATTCATGGAAAATGCAGTATCTTTTGTGTGCGTTTGTTATACAAGTTTTGCGTTTAATATCACTTATACTCCTCCAGTCGTTGCGATCAATATATTTATTATACAAAAGAAATCTTTTGGCATAAGTCGTGGAAATCACGCGATGTGTTCACAACTAAAACATATAATTTTGGCATTAAAATCCAAACCTGAAATCTACTTTAAGTCACTAATTATAAAATTAAATGCAATTTATTTCTCGCCGTCACGACTGGGAATATATTTCAATCCATTTTCGGCGTTAATTAATTGAATTTGCATTTCGTATTAAATATAATAGGTAACAAATATATCACACATCATAATGCGCTCGTATGTCATATGCACTACCACTCCATGATATACTGTATCTTATATACGGCACACACACTCACTCACTTTAACCACACAATTAAGTCAATGAAATATTTGTGTACTGTATAGAAATTGTGTGCAATTTTTCAAAAACAATAAATTTATTTTAATTTGCTTTCAGTCATCGCAAGCGCTCTAACTCTACAGTATGCTGCTATAGTTAGGACATACCTGTGCCGGGAATAGTGATATTGCGCTTTTGTTGCGACAGTTCAGTGGGATTTTCCTTGAGATAAATGTGATACTTTGTAATCCTGGAGTTGCCGGTGAATGGGGGCGCCCACGACACCCGCGCCGAGCGACTGGTTATGTCATCCACTTTGACGTCGAGTGGAGTGTCGGGAGGTTCTGGTCGTTAATCATCGAAAAATAATAAAAGAAATGTTTTTTTCGGTATTATATATAATATAATATATATCTATACTGTATACTAGTATATATTGTACGGAAAAAAGTCTTGTGTGAGTGACTTATATTTCCAATTATCTAATAGCGGATCAATACCTTGAACTATAACTTGAATACTTGTCTCATCCTTTCCATAGGCATTGGATGTAATGCACTGATAGAGCGCTGAATCGCTTCTATCAATCGATTCGATGACTAACTCCGATGTGATTCCTTCGTTCATTACTGTCTCCTTTATAGCGTATCTTATTATCACAAGTATTAATAAATGAGAGTTTAATATCAAACTTATATATATAGACATCAAAACCAATGTATGGAATCAACGTCTAATTAATTGAAATCTAATTGAAATGTTTCGTAACAAAAATAAAATGTTGCCTTTTTTATAGTAACGAAATTAATTGCAATCTTAAACTTAAAGTATTAGTGTTTTCTGAATTATATACTATACGATCAGATGTTTTGTTTTCCAATTAAATTAATTTATAATTAGATTAAAATGCGGGCAAACTATAGATAAAAATATATTATATAAGTTTTATCGATATAAATAATATACGACTTCTTACAAGAATCGCTGCGCTATACTACTCGTGTAGACATTGATTTTATTTATAAACTACAGAATCCACAGAATCACAGAATCGTGTGTTAATAAAAGTCAATTACCTGTTGGAGTGGTGTTCCGTATGGATGAGCTGTCGGTCTCTATTCCACTCTATAGTGATGGGCCGCTCGCCGACGGCCTCGCAGACGAGAATCGCCTTCTGATTCCTGGCGACCGTCTCGGCCCGGAATTTGGCTCTAAAACGGGCGGCGACTGTATTGGGCGACAGACACAGACACGCGAGCGAGTTGTTTGACAGCGAAATAAGTGGCAAAAGAATATCAAATATTTTTTGTGCTCTTTTCAAACCCCAAACGACAATATATTTATTTATTTAAGTGAATCAATCGCTTACTGTGAACTTGAATGCGAATTATTTTGCTTAAATCGGGTTCAACTCCATTGGAAACATGACATAAATAAAGTCCAGAATCCTTTTTGTCAACACTTTCTATAAACAGAGTTCCGTTTTCATACACTTGGGTCTGGAATGAGCTCACAATCGGTCTATACTCTGATTTTATGCCTGAATTGTCAAAAAAGTCATTTCAAACAATATATTAATCGCTTATACGATAGATGTATTATATAAGTATCGCTACAAAAAAGTACTTTCGCAGCGAAAATAGGCTGAAAATAAAAGGAAATCCTTTACTCTATAAAAGTTAAGCTTTCGGATTAGTAATAGAAAAATAAAATACTAATTAAAATTTTAATGACTATCTGTACCGCAGATTCCGTACGATTTAAACGCAATTGGCTACTAGTGATGGCATATAAACTTGCGGTAAAACTCATAAATATTTATAGAGTTCATGCGAGAAAACATTTTCAAACTCCAATAAAAATAAAAAAACGGAAAAATGAAATCCAAAATATTGCTATAAATTCAATATATTGTTCGGCAACACAAATAAAAAGGACAACCATAACAGGCATTACAAGGGAATACACCTTTTGGTTTAGGAATTATTATAATTGAATCACTAGTAGTAGTCGTGATGGCAGTAATAGTGGTAATAGTGGCAGTAGTCCATACAGTCAGTGCATTACATACTTAGGGCTCTTTTCCACTGAACGTTAGGCGCCGGGAAGCCAGTGGCAGAACAGTCCACCCAAACGCTATTGCCTTCGACGAGGTCTATGTGATCCGTCGGCTCTATTATCCACCGGGGCTTCTCTGTAGGGATTTCCACGCATTCAGTGTAATGAAAGTAAGGCATAAATTTTTAATTGCAATTATTGTCTTTTAAAATACTTTAATCAATCAAAATCTAATTTGGAGTCAAATTCTATGGCATATGAAGTCTATATATATTCTGTATTTTTGCTATTTTTCTAATTATGCGACTCTTGTGCTGAAGAGTGGCGTACGCGACGTGTACTGTATGTATGTGTGTGTGTGTGATAGTGGGCTATAGAGCGCCGGTAGTATTTGTAGTGAATAGATAATAATGATACCATAATTACCGTGTATTATCATTTGAGTGCTGTGTTTATCTTCTCCGACATCATTAATTGCAAGACATGTGTAATTGCCTTCGAGTGGGTGATGCACAAGAACCGGAGGGAACGGCACATAAAAACAAACTTTTTTGTTAATCAATGCAATCAATAGAGAGTGAATGTGTAATATTTATAAAATACACGACAAAAAGAAACATAAAATAATTGCGATTTCTCAAACAAATATCCTAAGTCTAAGCCATTAATGCAAACGTGAGCCCAAAAGTAATACAATACGAGAATCAGATTATCCTTCAGTGTTTCAGTGTATATGTAATTTCGATGAATATATTATACTTAAAATAAATGCTAGAAATTTTTAAAATATGTTTTGAAAAACCTATTTCTTTATAAATTTAGAGAATCTCTATATTGAATAAATGACACATAAATCCAAATATTTTGTACAAATCTTATGTGCGGCTCAGTATTCAAGAGTGTTTGAGCCGATATTATGCCTTTCCATAGAAAGTCAATTTATTTTCATCAAAAATAGATTCTGTATTTTTCTCCCAAAAAACATATTTTTCATAGAAAAAAGAATTATTATATTTTTGAATAAAATATTCCTTACAATAAGTCATGCAATATATAGAGATATGCATTACACGGACAGTAAGCTCCTGAATAGTGTACAGATTTTCAAGAATATTGCTAACATTTCCTTTACATAGTATTTATCGGCTAACGCACACTGATTTGTCTCGCAATCTGACGTTCACTATAAACGTGTGTTTATTTTGTATGGCTTTATATAACAGAATTATACAATATGTATGGAAATCCTAATTCAGGTTATGAGAGGCTTATTTCAAATGAGCTAAATATCACATATACGACATGAATTATTTATGAATTTTATGGTAATTAATGGTGTTATATAATGGTTACGAAATAAATACAGTATATATGAGACACACGTCTTACCCGTCTGTTTCTTAGTCAACGTTTCGAAGAGCAATGTCGAGGAATAGTCAGTCAAATGATGGACTTTGATCATAGAGCTGGTGAGCGACTCTTCGCCGATCATGTGGTCATTATATAGCCATTTGATAGTGAGTGGCGGATCGCCTCTGATTACGGTGCATGTGATGGACAGCCGCTGTCCCGTATGTACTAACGAGGGAACGATAAACGGCTCAATCACTGGCTTCTCTGTGTTGTGCCATTCATTTATGTCAACCGTTTTTTTGCCGGATAAGAGGAAAACGTTAGATTGAATGCGATTAGTATGGAGTGAGAGAGAGACAAACACATAACACACAGAATATTCTGTTGCTATACATAAATTGCAGGCATTAAGCGATAATGTAATACAATATTTGTTGGTAAATACATTATAGAGTTTTCGGTTACACAAGAGTAGTACATACCTCTGACGGTTATATAGAAATCACGTTTGGCTATATCGCCCTTGTATTTAGCGAAACACGAATATCTGGGAAGCAATTGAGAGATTAAAACATAATTTTTCAATAAATGTCTTGTATATTTCGAGCATGTATTTCATATATTGCCTTTTGGTTTAGGAGTCTAACTGTAATACTGTATAAGGTTAAGAATTTTTTGTTCCTGATTTATTTAACATTAGCTTAGTTTCTCCCTATAATTAGATCAAGAATATGATGATCGGAATCCGTTATCTCCCAATAGGCAGCCATTATGTGTGGTTTAAAGTTACACTTGTTTTGCCGATAAATTATTAGTGAATGTAATTATAAATAATTAGTTGACATTCAAAATAGCCGCAGAATACATAAATGCGCTCATTATATATATGCCATACAATTAAGGCCTATATTTAAAACCTATTCATTGAATCTATTTAGCGTGAAGAATGGCTTTAAAAATTGTTGTCAAAAGTTTTATGAATAGGAATTATAGTGGCGAATGGGTTGCCATACCATACGGGAAGCCTTTTCCCAACGTTAATGTTATAATTATGGAAATATTTTCCAAACAATACAGAAAAGTTAAGTATAGTTTTGAAAAGTTTGTGCCAAAACATTGTATTCCGACGAGAATTAAGTCAATAATAAGTAATAATCTTTTAAAATATTCAGGACTTTATTTCGATGAGGAGTTAATCTCGGCTCCAGTTATATATCTATTATGTATTGATTTTTATTGTAATCATAAATAAGGATTTTTTGGCAACATTTCTATCGGGAACTCCAATCGGGGTATTATTTAAGGTTGGATTTTGAAAGGGGCTTAACGTTTAGGACACTATAGAGAATTAGACCACAAACATAAAGTGATTGTTTTTTGTGTACTTTCTTTGAGACAAAGTGTTAAAATGAAGAGATTTGGAGATTCTTAGCGCTAAACTGGAGGCAAAGAAACAGAAAAAAACTTTATTTCGACAGAAATCTTATTAAGAAGACTAAGAGAAAGAAGCGAACAAATAAAGAGTAAAAACAATATATGAAAGACAGATATGCACTGTAAGACAGTGGCACTGGTTGTATGAATGGTAAGGCACTGGTAGCTGCAAACCTTCCTCCATCTGTTTCCCGGGAGAGCTCGCGAACAATGAGTGTTCCGTTCGTATGAAGTGTTTGTCTGTGATTGTCGGGCAAAAGCACTCCGTCTGCAAAACACATACAAACAGATAGTCAGTCGAGAAATATATTACATATCGAGTGCTTAATAACGAAAAAATATAATACAAAAAGTCTTTTATATATATATAAATAAAAAACAAATCAAATCTATTTTCATTTGATTAATGACCGAATTGATGGAAATATTTGTTTGCATAATACATATGAGGAATGGTAGGAATGGTATTGTTATTTACTTTTTTCCCATTGGATTTCATCGTAATTGCCGCCGACCGGACACTTGAGATATATAGTCTGGTGAGCGACCAGGGTCATGTTGGGTATGAGCCGCACGTAGGGCGCGCCCAACACGTTAATGTTGGCGCCGTACCTGACACTGGCGCCCATGGACCGGGCCATACAGGCCCAGTGGCCCCCGTGCTCTGTACTCACGGACGATATATTCACGAATGATATCACATTTGAATCTCTGGTCACATAATCGCCATAACGCAGGCCATTGAGCTCAGTAATGGGCAGGTCGTCCAACAGCCACGTGATCATCGGTAATGGCGTTCCCGTTGCCATACATTTCAATGACAGCGACTCTCCAGGCCTTAAGTCTTGCGATTTGAAAACTTCGAGAAATTTTGGCAAATCATCTGAAAAAATGTTATGAAAAATTGTTTTGCTTTCAAAATGCTGTTCGCAATACTAAAACACAATAAAAAAAGCTAATAAAACCGGCGTATATACCTGACGGGGCCGACAACAGGTCACTGGTATCCACTTCAATGGTATTAATAATTGATAGAAATGAAAAGATATAACAGTTATATAAAAAGCCATTAATACATACATATAAGTCGTATAAAAATAATAAACATTAAGTTTTCATATTTGTATTACACAGTAATCTGCGATTCATTTCCACCCAATCCCTATATCTCAAGAATATTCTGTACTGTATTTTATAGAGATTATAGTAATTGAATATTATTTTCGCTCCGTTTTGTTACAATACATCAGTAATAAAAAAGTGATGAACAGAGAGGGAGAGAGAGAGAGTAAGAGAGAGAGACTACGAGAAAATGAGAGAATGAGAGTTTTGCCTCAAAATAACAAATCATTACTTTTAATAATAAAACAATTCTCTGGCGAATAGTGTGTCGACTCTTATTGTCTTTGATATCAAATTTCATAAAAACAAAAGTATGAGAAAAAATCAATTTTTTAGAGCGCTTTTTCATCTTATCTTTATTATAGACATTATTATAAATAAGAGACTCTAAACTAAGAATCTTTATAAGCCATCGGAAGTATTAAAAACTTCAAACAACTATAAACTCTTTCTCTCACTCACTCTCCTTCCCTCTCGGCTCTCAATCACTCTCTACTTACGACTCTCTCTCTCTCTCATTCTTTATATGTAATCTACAAATATATTCACTCTATAATTGAATTTTTTGGATTTAATGACTCAAAACAACTTTTTACAGTGTTTTGTGTTTGATTGAGTTTTTTGTGTTTTGTATTTAAGACGTTTAGAACAAAGAAAAGATTAGAAAAAACTTTTGTCTCATTCTCTCAATGTTTCTAAAAAATATTTTCAAAACCTAAGCCATCGATTGAAATGCAAATAAAAATATTCGCCTTTTATGTTATTTAAATATATATTTAATTTTTTTTACATTTTAATCATTAACTTATATTTTATTCATAAACTTAAGTATTAGTAAAATCATATGAAATTTATTCACAAATTTTTTCTTCAATAAATCAAAAAAGAAATTTATTGTGAATTCAATGAATACTTATTATGTATGTCTTTGAGTCAAACAAATGGTAAATATTAGAGGCATTTGTCGATTGAATACAAAATGAATTTTTTTTATGAAAATAGACAAATAATAAAAATGAATAAAATATTTCAAATATTTCTCATTTTATATAAAATGATTGAAAGGATCGGAAAGTTTTCAGTTCACAGACCATACGATAGAATACAATACACTTCACTCTATGAGGGGAACGACTGCTCACTAGAGATACAGAATATACTGAGGAATACTGTAACAGTTGTAGTGATACTAAAAATGTTGTATAAATTCTGGACATAAGCCTAAGTGCAATACAATTAGAGTCGAAATCTAATAAAAAGCTAATACACTATAAACTAATTTGCATTCAAAATAGGACAACAAAATACTAATCAAATAATTAACACTATTTGCGAAGATTATAAACAATGTTTAGCACACTTTTTCGGGCTCTAATCGCACAACACATATGCATTGTATAAGGAATTGGGATTTTAAGCAAATAATTGAATTTTAATGCGAATAATAAAATATGAATGAATGCAATGTGAATACAATTGCAATGACTATAAAGTGAGAGTTATTATGGCTATTGACTGCTCTAATGATTACAGTGAATGGCATTCATATTATCGAGAAATAGTTTTATAGTTATATGCAGTATAGCGTATAATATATTGTATGGCTTTTAACATTACATACAATTTAGTTATTGTCTAAACTGTGCATTTAATACACTCTGCACTCGCATTCAATACGACTCTATAGCGGGGGTCAAACACTTAATGGCTGGCAAGTGGTCATCACTGGTGGCGATCTATACTTATATTAAGGGCTCAAAGCCAAAGCCAAATACCAGTCTCTCGATGGAAATGAAACGTTCAGTTCGTACATCACTTTTACATTAGTTTTTTGCAACTATTTTTCAGTTGCAAAGAGAAAAGAGATCATAAAAATATATTGTCGGCGATTAACTCTAGTAAATGACTGTCTATTTTGAATTTCTTATGTCGTGTATAAGTGTGTGTATAAGACTCGCCAAACATAAAGCCCTCTCTCGATCTTTCTGTCTCTAAATCCTAAGTCTTATTCATTTTTCATACCATTATTTCATAGAAATATCAAAACATGAAATATTAATAAATAATTCCTCTTAAAACATAACTCTATTTTCTAAGGTCTCTATTCACACACACAGTGTTTTAGCCTTACATTCACTGCGAGCGCACAGAAATTTACTTAAAAATAAAATCAATTACAATATAACTTGAACACAATGGGTCCATATATACACTATAATGTGCGATACAATTATTCTAATACAATATCGGAGTAATAAATCTCTCGCTTTTTTATAGCAAAACTATAATAGTTTATTAACACAAAAACTGTAAGCGAGAAGCGATCGAAATCCTCTGATCCGCAGATTTGGTGCCAAAAACTTCTCTATACTATACTATTCTCTCTCGCATTCTCTCGCAGAGTGTGTATCGGAAAGAGAGCCAAAGAATAATACACACAAACAATGGTATAGTAGAGAATCATTATTAAAAAAAGCTATTTTGTGCCAACACTACTACACTATTAATGATAATCAATATAACACATAATTTTTCTTCACTCTCTCACTCACTCCCTCTCCCACTCTCTCCCTCTCTCACTCCGATCCTTCTATTCTATCCATTCATTCATTCATTTATCGAAATGACGGCCAAAAACTCATTACATTAAGTGAAGTGAAATATTTTAAATTATGAGTTAATTCTCGCTCTCTTCAAAAAAGTCCATTTCATTGACTAAACAATTTTAAACTCAGTCACAGAACAAATGTGTTGTATATTATATAATAGACGAGAGAGAGAGGGAGAGAGAGAGAGAGAGAGAGAGATGGCATAGAAATGCTTACAAAAGCAGATAAAAATAGAATTAGACATAAAATTGTTGGATATTATGATGAGATTTGATGCAAAAGAATGAACGGAATTATAAAATCAATAGTTTTTGTTTTGTTTTGCTGTAAAACGCCGTTAAATAGGAGAAGAATTATGAGCTTAAGAGCCAAACGTTGAGCACAAAAATAATGAAAATAATCCCTTAATTTAAATATTAAATACTTTGGCAACTATTAGTTTTAAAAGCAAATAATGAATAATAATAAAAACCGTATTTTTAAAATCTAAATCTAAAATATATACGGAAAATAGCGTTAAAATTGATTTATGCTTTCATTTTCTCTATAGACTGAGAGAAACAGTGTATTAAGAATCGATATTTTTTGAGTATAGAAAACATTATTGAGTACTTCTATCGCATATAAAAAAACTTTATTACTCTTTATATAAAAATTTATGTCAAATATTGATTGAATACTACAAAAGCAAAAAAAAGTTATTTTGCGGTAATCAAAAAAATAGTAAAAATCATTTTTATGTAATAATAATATTTGTTTTTATCTAATAGTTAGCCATTGTTTTTATAGACTCCGTCTATAATAAAGTTAAGGGAATAGAGTGTAGAGAATATATTCTGTAAAACAACTCAACAGACTATCTATCTATACATGAGTTACTATTATAGTCAACAACGCATAGCACAGGCAGTTGTCTATCGGTGTGTATGTACTCTATGTGCTGTATATGCTGTCAGTGCCTATGAGAGTGTATCACTTGTTAGAGAACGCATGGATTACACACTCTTTCCATACACCATACACTCAAATATGACATTAATTTTCATTATAATCATTACTACAACACTTTATAAGATGTAATAAAATTTTATTTTAAACGCTTAAGTGTTGAGTGATTTTGAGAAATTAAAATAAAACTCTGAAAAACTTTTATGCGCTAATTTTATTCAATTTGAAAAATACATTGTATATGCTATAGGTATAGGAAGAATATTCTGCACAATATATATATATATATATACACTCGTACACCCAATCAGATTAATGAACTCATAAATGAATTCAAATTATAATAAATATTATATGAATTCTCATAGCATTCTGCGAATAACAGGACACAAATTTTTTCCCATTTTTATTATCGAAATAGTGATTATTAAATGCGAAAAACTAATGAGAAAAATATAATTTCGTACGTTTAATGAGCGACTCGTATTTGTACTCATTAAGGCAAAAGTAAATGTTATTATTATTAAAGAATATTCATTTTAAAATTCTATGGAATCAATCAAACGTTAATAATAGAAAAAACTGACACAAGAAAAGCGTAAAGAGAATGGAGAGAGAGAGAGAGAGAGAGCAAAGAAAAAGCGTTCATTTTTGCAAATAAATCACTGCCAGAGTAGTGAACAACTCGTTATGTAATTGAAATTTGTTCGGAGGTTCGGAAGCAATATATAAATTGGGTTTTTCTAGTCTACAGAATACACTGTATTTATATTCTGTATATAACGCTCAGAATAACAGTTCCGATGCAATAAAGTGCTGAATATGAGTGTTATTCTCAGTGTTATGTATCGCATGGAATGTATAAAACAGATAATAAGCATAACAAGAATTTATATAAGACTTGAGCTATTTTTCGGGCGGACTTAATATAGCTATACATCAGTGGCACACATATTTACAACACATACCCATCAGCGATATGCAAACCAACAGAATTGCCAACAAATCCATTGGAATCTTGTGTTAAGACTTTTGACAAATAAAACTAATTTCTCGGCGTTTGTTGTGATGTGAAGTGCGAAACGAAAAGCTTTGTTCGCAAAGAATTCTCGCCTCCGATCACAGCATCAATGCATTCGTGGCATATCTGGAGCACTGGTGTTGAGAGACACCGATCCTCTCAGTCTGTGTCGACAATAATTGTAGCTAACAGTGCGATGAGACCTCTCTATATCCCCTCTCTATCACAAACACATTGCTATTCTCGACACACAGTTACTGTATACCAGAGAGTAGTGTCTCACTCGTGTTGTTCTATGGGAACAGTTATCTTGAGCTCAAATGCACACCGAATACATCGATCATAAATAGTGGAGTAAAAAAGTATTGTGTTATTCGGCGCCAAACACACACTACTAGTCCTCTGTCTATGTTTTTCGCCAACTATTCCGTTTGAGTTCGCGTTGACTCAGTTGTCCCAAACGCCACGACTTGAATCTCAATCACATTTCGGCGTAAGTCTTGCGCACCCATTCCTCATAGTTCTCGTTGTTATTATGGCAGAGGGAGAGAGAGGGAGGGAGAGAAAGAAAGAAAGAGAGAGAGAGAGAGAGAGACGCGAGGAACGGGAGAGTGAAACAAACAACAGTAACTATAGTGAAAAGACTATGGGTTACGAGTGCTATAGCGCTATACAAGCGATACAATTGTCGAATTTCGATCTGTTTGTAAGCAAAACTACTCATCTATTTGTGCATATATATGGCATATACTCTACCAGTGCCTCAACTCAATGTTCTAACAAGTAATGTTCTAACGGCTAACGGTGCCAAACGCATATGCAGTCTCTCTCTCTCTCTCTCTCTCTCTCTCGTTAGGCTATACTTAAGTACAGAATACTACACAGAATGTATGGTAAAGTATAGCTAAGGCTAGTGTAGGAATATGTTGAACACGTATCGAGACTTAAGACTTATTTTTGTGAGACTAACGATTGAGTCGATCAAACAAATCGATTTGTTTTAATTAAAAGCCTTTTCCTATCGGCCTCTCTCTTATAGTAATATTAGCGTTAAATGTGTTATAATTTATTTGGAGCGCAGATTTATTTGACTTATATTTACTCACAATTTATATTAATGTTTTCACTTCTCACTCATACAAACACTTTTTCGCCACCTTTTTGCCTCACTTATGGAGCAATGCATACATTAATAGGAATTACATTTATATCCAAATGAGTCTTAAGCTGTCAAAAGAGTTTAAGTAAATGTCAAACAAAGGTATTAATGGCTCGCAGTATAAGTACTGATTCCTTAGTATAATAAATATTTCATTTTCATTGTGAATATTATATTAGAGTATTGAATGAAACTCTCGACTCCTCTCTGTTATTGCAAAACAAATCCTTTTCAATAAAAACATCAATAAATTCATTTGAAACGGATTTACGGGACTTCGCGTTAATTTGCTTTCTATAGCGCAACAACTCTTATATTAAACTCTTATTAAATAAACTCAAATAACGCTAAAATTCAAATATTAATTTTATTTCTCATTATGTAAACCATACAAAAAATAGACATTAATTTACATAAAAAACACATTATGCCTATAAATTCATATAAATTTTATATTATAAAACTTTTGTCGCATTTTAACACAAAAACAAACTTCAAAAGTCAAGAAAACCGAAATAGAGTTGACTTTGAGTGTCAAACCTGAGACCTAATGGCAAAACCGATTTTGTCGACTCGATTAATGTGCGAAACAAACTCATCAATAGCTGTGTCTCGATTGGGAACCACTGGACATCAAACGTAGTTTAAGTAAATGTCAAACAAAGGTATTAATGGCTCGCAGTATAAGTACTGATTCCTTAGTATAATAAATATTTCATTTTCATTGTGAATATTATATTAGAGTATTGAATGAAACTCTCGACTCCTTCTCTGTTATTGCAAAACAAATCCTTTTCAATAAAAACATCAATAAATTCATTTGAAACGGATTTACGGGACTTCGCGTTAATTTGCTTTCTATAGCGCAACAACTCTCATATTAAACTCTTATGAAATAAACTCAAATAACGCTAAAATTCAAACATTAATTTTATTTCTCATTATGTAAACCATACAAAAAATAGACATTAATTTACATAAAATACACATTTTGCCTACAAATTCATATAAATATATTACAAAACTTTTGTCGCATTTTTAAACACAAAAAAACTTCAAAAGTCAAGAAAACCAAAATAGAGTTGACTTTGAGTGTCAAACCTGAGACCTAATGGCAAAACCGATTTTGTCGACTCGATTAATGTGCGAAACAAACTCATCAATAGCTGTGTCTCGATTGGGAACCACTGGACATCAAACGCGAATCGATATCTATTTAACTCTGCGCTCACTTCGCCGTCATTAGCCTTAAAGACATTATAGAAAACTGATGTCTTGTTCGCGAAGTTAATGCCATACACTTTGGACTCATCTAATGAATCACTAATTGATGCCATAATTAGCTGCGAATTGAATACATTGAAAACTAAACTAAACTTCTTGTCGCAACTTTCAAACAGATATTTGGTGCCAACGTTTTGGCCTCGAAAACTCAATTCATATGCGATATGAATGTATGGAAAGCATAGCATTGACTACAAACCCATTGTGGCGTCAATTGTGAACCAAATGGTGATATAATTGTGATTACAATGACTGTTACGAAAGGCCTTTAATTGTCGCAAACATAAGGGCTTTAAATCGATGGACGAGTCGTTCAGCGCTATCGCAATGTGTTTGCAATCAATGCATACATTAATGCACTTATCGTCCAGTATTTCGACACTAATATGACGGACACTATGGCTGTCGTCCACTAATATATTAAACGATAACTGATTTAAATTGCGATTAAATACACAAAACATGGAAAACATGTTTGCCTTTTGGGACGCCTTTTAAATTCAAACTTCAATTCACAACAAAAAGTTTGTTTTCATTTCGAAAAATAATATTTCTTATTCACAAAATACGTAACGCTTTCATAAAGTTATAAAATAAAACCCTTTATTATCGGTAAATATCATACAATAGTGTACTTCACACACGATATCTCGTACACTAAATGCCATCACAAATACACTTATAGTTTTAATACATTAAATTCATCATTTAATGAACATCTCGTTTTTGTACACAAAGTGTATTAATAGTTAAATATTTTATTTCATTTATTACTATCAATAATAATATTTGAACTTAAATTCAATGCTTAAAAAAGAGTAAATCTTTAAATATTTAAAAGGATTTCTTAAAACAATTTGACAATAGATTTGATGAAAGTAATGATCCATTCGTGGGGCCATTCAGTGAACCATTCAATTGATTACATAATTCGATGGCAACGATAGATAAATATGCGATATATTTATGAATCGGTGGTCGCCTGTCATACCACACACCCAGAGGTGTATATTCGCAACAATTCAAAACCAAAATGTCGTTCAGCAGTAAAAATGATGATTAGTTTAGAGGAGCACTCGATGGCTTAAAACCAATTTTTTGATACAAAACTTGTCGTAAACTTTGAGTTTATGTCCGTTTTCTATGAGTGAATCAATAACTGGTTATCGCGACAGACTATGCGAGCGCTCCCGACATTCGTTTTTTGAGCTGTCGTTCCTCTCTTGAGTGGCCTCAATGGCGTCCAACTCGTGTAACCGGTTAAGGTCGCCTTCGAATGCCTTCTTGACCACGAGGTTGCTCGGGAAGTCTCACTCGGCTACTGACCCGAGCATGAGGTTGTATACCGACTAGTCCAGCTTGTCGCGGGCCACGAGGAGCAGCAGGTGCGTCATGTACCGGAGCAGTGGCTTACAGTTCTCCCGTACGTACCGCCCGTTCGACGACTTCTCGTCCCAACTGAGCCTTCCGTGATAGAAGTAATTCGTTCTAAAAACACACATACCGTTCCCCAACTCATTAGTAAATGCCATAATTATGTCGTCAACGAAATAATATAAAACTACAGTATGTCTAGTCTTACGGTAAGATTAAAATCTCAATTCAGTAATTACTGTACAATCACTACTAGACTCAGAAATAAATGAATAAAAGCATAAGAAATGTGATAATTACTTGGTTTTGCGGCACATCCTATAGGGAATGGGCCCCAGTATCCTCTCCATCATAGCCAGGTGCTCGCGATTGTCATGCGTTTGAAACAATGTTATTCCTAAGTATAATTCAAATAATATGCAGCCAATGCTCCAGACATCGCACGGCTGACTCCACCCCAACTCGAGTATGACTTCCGGTGCCCTGTAGTGACGGGTGGACACGATTGTCGAGTGGTGTTCGTCATCAAAAGTGGCCGAACCGAAGTCTATGAGCTTTATGTGAGTACTCTTTACCCGCTTTATGTCCTTCTTCTGGACGCAAAACACACAGCAATTGGGGTCACAATTCATACACACAATTGAGTCAAACATTTTTGATTGCAATTACTTTTTTGTTGTTATAGAAGACCTCGTAATCGGAATCAAAAAACAATATATTCTCCGGCTTTAGGTCCGTATGAGTCAATTGGTTGTCGTGAAGGACTAACACGTAAATCAAAACAACAATTAATACAACAATTGAAATAAATAATAATTTACATTAAATATGTCTCAATTGAAGCTTACATTTAACGGAATACACCAATTGGTAGCCCATATGGCGCACCTGTTCCAGTGTGTAGGGCACCATCAATAACAGAAAGTACTTCAGTTTGTGCCTATCCGGCTCGTAGAGCTTCCGGTCTGTGTACACCGGCACTATCAGTTTGGTCAGGTTGTAGAACTGCGACAGTCTGTCCAACAAACAAAAAAACACACGTTTTATACACTATTAGACAAGTATACTTGTGAGGAATGCCTACTTTCTGCCGTTGGGGTCCTTTTGGGCAATTTTCTCGAGAACATTGATCTCGAGTTTGGCCGCATCCCTGTACTTCTTCACGTTTTTTATCACCTTTAATGCCATCACTTGTTCGCTATAATTGTGTAAACAAGCGCTCAGTCTTTTTCAGTGCATTACTTAGAATCAAAACTAAAAGATTTTTGTGTTTCAAATGAATCACAAATGAAACGCCAAATACATAGCAAAAACAAACCCCGTTTGAAATAATAAAAAACAGCAACTTTTTAAGAATTGAGGCAAAAAGTAGTCGTATTATGAAATGCATGCAAATGAGTGACAAAAATAGACCCTTTGATTACATGAGTATTAATAAAAATAAGAGACTAAATAAGACTGTTTGGGAAGTTTGCCATCAAATTGTTAGCGAATATCACACATAATTCAGACTAAAAACTAAAAACTCTTTTTCAATTAAAATACATTTTCGCACAAAAATACCATTTAATGAGAAAATTCAAGAATAACTGTTTTGACTCACTTTCTTAAGTCAAGTACACGAACCACTTTACCGAACGTTCCCTCTCCCAGAGTGGACACGATTTCATCTGCAATATTCACATCAAAAAACAAAAAACACACAAACATTAGATTTCAGCATAAAATGTGCAAAACAGTGCATAAAACTTATTATAACATTAAGATTCCCTCGAAAAATATTTGGAAAAAATAGAGAATATATATGTATATAAAGAGTATAAAACCCAATACTGGCCCTCAAAATAGATAGAGAATAACTGTATGGAAACGAAATAAACAGTCCTATTATAAGCACATAAATGTACGGCAAATGACTTATGTATTTATGGTATCGAGTGGTTTGGATATCGAGAATCTCTGATAGGCTTTCAAAATCTCTTTTCAATCTAATGAGTAGTGAATAATATCTGTTTTTTGTGTGTTTTGTTTGGATATTCAGTACATCTCTCTTGCAGGACATCTCCATTCTTGTAGATGAGGTGTCCGTCGTCGTCATCCTCGATACTCGTCGCTCTGGAGTGTGACTGTTCTCGCGGTGTTAATGAGAAAATTCAAGAATAACTGTTTTGACTCACTTTCTTAAGTCAAGTACACGAACCACTTTACCGAACGTTCCCTCTCCCAGAGTGGACACGATTTCATCTGCAATATTCACATCAAAAAACACACAAACATTAGATTTCAGCATAAAATGTGCAAAACAGTGCATAAAACTTATTATAACATTAAGATTCCCTCGAAAAATATTTGGAAAAAAATAGAGAATATATATGTATATAAAGAGTATAAAACTCAATACTGGCCCTCAAAATAGATAGAGAATAACTGTATGGAAACGAAATAAACAGTCCTATGATAAGCACATAAATGTACGGCAAATGACTTATGTATTTATGGTATCGAGTGGTTTGGATATCGAGAATCTCTGATAGGCTTTCAAAATCTCTTTTCAATTTAATGAGTAGTGAATAATATCTGAAAAACACACAAAACAAACCTATAAGTCATGTAGAGAGAACGTCCTGTAGAGGTAAGAACATCTACTCCACAGGCAGCAGCAGTAGGAGCTATGAGCAGCGAGACCTCACACTGACAAGAGCGCCACTCTGTTCCCCCGACCAACCAATAGCCAGTCAATCAGTGTATTCATTGGGCGTCCAATTGTCATAACAAGTGTTCATATTTTCAATTCATGTGTTCATTCAGTTCAGTGTTCGTGACATTCATTTCGGTTTATTCGAGATTTTTCGGTTTAATTCGAGATTCAAATCGTTTGTGTTTTGTTCAGTCATTCCGATTCACATTCAGAGTATATATGAATACAAAAAACGAGAGAAAAGGGGCGAAAATAATGGATAGTTTCGACAAAACCATACATTTATTTATATATATATATATCGACTAAATGCTTAAAAATATATATAGTTTTTAAAAATTATAATTGAAAGCAATTATTACGGCACAAATAAAAGAGACGCTTTAAGACTACATTAAAACTAAAAATAATTTGATGGTTTTTTTAGATCAGAGTGATATGTAATCAATCTGTAAACTACAAAAATCAGTTATTTAATATGAATGTAAAATTTATCTGCAGTTAGGTCTTTTTGTTTAATAATATTAATTGCATTATTGACAACAATTAAAAGTAATATTTAAAACTTATAAAAACATCAAAAGTATAACTAATGATACTATGTTAAGTAACTACACATAGCTATAAATACAGAATATCATAATAACTATGAAAACACATTAAGAAAAGAGCTATTTTTCAATTAATCAATTAATTCGTTATAATATTAAATGATATTAAGTATGAATACTGCATTAATAAATACATAAAAAGGCACAGAATTATAAACCCTATGAAAAGTTGCTAAATATACACAAATACAAATCATGCAATGCATTTGGTTAATAGTGTAAATAGGTTGACAAAACATACCGCATTTGTTAGGCTTGTGTTTAATTACAAAGCAATCGATTTCTAATCTTAATCTAAAAATACTGTGTTTTTGCGTAAAAGTCTGTTCATTACATAGTCCTCATCGGTGACGAGTCTTAACTACCAAAAAAATCTAGTCTCACTATACATTAGTTAGACATTTGATGTTTTTAGTCAATAAATTATACTTACATTTTAAATAGACGTCAATCCAGAAAAACAAATTATTATAATTAACGTAATAATAAGACAACAATTAAAAGTAATATTTAAAACTTATAAAAACATCAAAAGTATAACTAATGATACTATGTTAAGTAACACATAGCTATAAATACAGAATATCATAATAACTATGAAAACACATTAAGAAAAGAGCTATTTTTCAATTAATCAATTAATTCGTTATAATATTAAATGATATTAAGTATTAATACTGTATTAATAAATACATAAAAAGGCACAGAATTATAAACCCTATGAAAAGTTGCTAAATATACACAAATACAAATCATGCAATGCATTTGGTTAATAGTGTAAATAGGTTGGCAAAACATACCGCATTTGTTAGGCTTGTGTTTAATTACAAAGCAATCGATTTCTAATCTTAATCTAAAAATACTGTGTTTTTGCGTAAAAGTCTGTTCATTACATAGTCCTCATCGGTGACGAGTCT